TGCCCAGGCCAGCCAGGACCCGGCCTGGAGGTGGCCATCAGGCGCCTCCGCAGAGACACAGAGACCGGGATTTCCTGCCATGGAGGGTGGGTGGGCAGGGAAATGGGGACATAAATGCTCAAAACACAGGCAGCTGCTCTGAATCCGAGGTCCACCACGTGCTCCGCCGTTCCCTCCAGCAAGAGATCTGACCCAGGGCTTCGGGGAGAGGGGGGCGGGGTCCCAGGGAGCAGAGTGGCTGCGGATTTTCCCGGGAAGAGGAGGAGAGCTGAAAAGGATTGAACTCCAGCCCTTCTCTTCTTTTTATGGTTAATCCTCACCCGATTTTTCTACTGATTTTTTATTTTTATTTTTACTAGAGGCCCGATGCATGAAATTCATGCAACCATGGCTTCGTCCGGAAGGTCATTTGGAAGGACGTCCAGAAGATCATTTGACATTTGGCTGTCCAGTCTAGTTAGCATATTATGCTTCTATTATTATAGACTTTTAAATATATTCTTATTGATTTCAGAGAGGAAGGGAGAGGGAGAGAGAGAGAGAAACATCAATGATGACAGAGAATCATTGATCAGCTGCCTCCTGCACACCCCTTACTAGGGATTGAGACTGCAACCCAGGCCTGTGTCCTTGACCGGAATCGAACCCGGGGGCCTTCAGTCCGCAGGCCGACATTGTATCCACTGAGCCGCACTGGCCAGGGCAGAACTCCAGCCCTCCTTCAGCAAGGCCCTGCACTGCCAGGGGCTCAGGGCTAGGCCTCCCTGAGGGGCTGGCCGGGCAGGAGGCAAGGGCGTGGAAATGCCCAGGAAGAGATGGGGTGGGAAAGGCATTTCCCGCCAATGGTGACAATTCTTTGTAGATTGCAGGTTCCCACAGCACCGAACGGGGCTGCCAGGAGGCCCCTGCCACTTCCAGGTCCCGCCCGGGAGCCCCTGCCCTCGGGGACGACTCCCACCTGCACCTCTCACGTCCTTCAGGCCACGTCACCCCAGGCTCCACGGGGGCCCCGGGCTCAGGCTCCCAGCTGCTCTTCCTCCTGGGCGGCTGGTGCCAGGCCCTGTCCCCAAGGCTGCTCCTGGGTTTACACAGCAGACCCCCCCGGCAAAGCGGTGCCATGGAAACCAGGGCTTGCTCTGCGAACGGATGCTCCATGTCTGGGATGGGCAGACTTTTACCAACCACCTAAATCCAGAATGTGCGTTGGAACCCCAATGGAGTGTCTACTGACCCAACGCAGATGAGCAGGAAGGAGTGACGTGGGCTGGGACGCAGGACCCACTTGTGGTCCCACAGCACCCGGGCCTTACTTCCTGTCTCCACCGCCTCAGGGCCACACCCTGCGGGTCGGTGAGGACCACACCGACGTGGCCACAGGGAGTGTGTACAGTGTCTGAGCATCTCCGCTCAAGGGCCTTCTTAGAAATGTTAATCTCTATGCATTGATTTTAGAGCGAAGGGAAGGGAGAGAGAAACATCAAGTTGCTGTTCCACTGATTGACACACTCATTGGCCGCTCCTTGGATGTGCCCTGACCGGGATGGACCCGCACCCTGGCCTGTGTCCTTGACCGGAATGACGCTCTAACCGACCGAGCTCTCAGCCAGGGCGCAGGGCTTTCACAGACCTGAACGTTGCAAACAGGGAACATTCTAGTCAGCAGCCGCCACGTGAGCAAAGCCTGCAAACTGGGATATATGCTAAGGATTTTTAAATCTTTAAAAGGGGAAAGAAAAAAAAAGATTTCAAAACAATCTTGCATTGAACAAGTTTGTAAAAATTTCCTGATGCAGCTGCTTTTAATTTGTTAAGAAATCAAACGTTACTCATGTTTTTAGCGCTATATTCACACACAGTCCAGTACAAGCGCGTAAACAGTCGACTGAATGGCAACAACACCCAGCAGGTAGCTCGGAGGACAACGTTTGCCCTCCATCAGATGCATCACGAGGGCGTTGTCTTCCAAACTAGTCTGTGAGGAATTCGGAACAGGGCAGCCCAGAAGGTGAGGCCCCACGCGACCCAGAGCCACGTCCATCCTGTGCAGGCAGGCAGGGTCCGGGCGTGGGCCAAGCCAGGCCGCGTGTCACCAAGCCAAGGGCGAGAACATGGAGACAGACAAATTAGCGAACAGAAGGCCGCAGACGAGGACTTATTTTATTCGCTGTGGGATGCGTGCCCCTCCTCGAAGGGCCCCCCGGGGCCCTGCCCCACAAGTCAAACAGCGAACGCGCTCAGTTACCGTTGTAGCCCTCGAGGGCCTGCGCAACCACGTCCTTGGCCACGGTCTCGTAGACCAGGTCCTGGGAGGCGTCGTGGAGAACCCCGTCCAGCTTGAAGGACCAGTCTGTCTGCTGGTTATTGACAACTCCTCTCCGAACATCTTTTTTTAAGTGAATATCGATAGTCTAGGGAGAGAGGAGACGGGGAGACAACTGCGTATTTGTTAGGAAACTGCTGTAAATTGGCATAAAAAAGTCACCGACGGCCGGGGCCTGATCTGGAAGCGAAGAGGAGGTGACCCTTGGGAAGGACAGGGGCTCCGGGCAGGCTCATGTCTGGGTGACTTCCTAGGGCAGGAGGGAGGGAGGGAGGGAGGGAGGGGAAGTGTGGACCCATCTCTCCCCGGTTCACAGGGGGATGTCGTGGCCCCACCTCTGATACGGGGTCAAGCACATGAACCGTGTTCTTACTAAACTGCTTTAGCAGAGGGGGACCTTTATTATTATTGTAAAAAGTATTTTTATTGATGTCAGAGAGGAAGGGAGAGGGAAGAGAAACATCGATGATGAGAGAGAATCATGGACCAGCTGCCTCCTGCATGCCCCCTACTGGGGATCAAGCCCGAAACCCGGGCCTGTGTCCTTGACCAGAATCGAACCCGGGACCCTTCAGTCCGCAGGCCGACACTCCACCCGCTGAGCCGAACCGGCCAGGGCTAAAGGGAAACTTATTAACCAAAAAGACGATGGAAACCGGGAGTGGGGAGTTTCCTCACCGACAGCATCGCAGGGGAACGGCTGGGCCTGGTGGACCCTGGCGTCCTGCTGGGCTTTCACCCGCCCCGTGTGATCACCCCGAGGGAGGCGGGACGGAGAGAGGCGGGAGGCACACGCGTCGCACTTACTTTGTTGTCGTCGCCGTATCTGATCATCTCATGAGCAAAGTCATCGGTGGGTCTGACACGGACAAACGCGTGCACTTTTTTCCTAGTGCTCATTCTCGCTGAAGAGAGGAAGACAGCGACAGGGTCAGTGGCCGTCCATCACCAGGCGACAGCGAGAGGGGTGTCACTCCTCAGGCAGAGGAGGAGGGAGTGGTGTCCAGCCCCCGGTCTCCAGTCCCCGGGAGCCAACTCCCCTCTCCCCCGGCGCATCTCAGTGCTCTGCCCACAGGACCTCCCGCTCTCCAGGTGGCCGTGTCGTGCCCACCCTCCACCCCGCCCCTAGGAGACTGGAGTGAAGGCTCAGACGCCCCCTCCCGCCCCAGCCCTCCCGCGCCCGTCTCAGGTGTGGTTTCTAGAACGGCTCCGGGTCCGAGTCCACGGGTAATTGCCTTGTTCACTGTATTTTTCTTGAACGTACTTACCATGAAAAGAATTAAAACTAATTCTCTTCTTTAAAAAAATAGTGTTATTGATTTCAGAGAGGAAGGGAGAGGGAGAGATAGAGAAACATCAATGAGAGAGAGAATCATGATTGCTGCCTCCTGCACGCCCCACACGGGGGATCGAGCCCGCGACCCGCTAGCTCATAGTCAAGTACTCTTTCTCCTCTGGCACCCCATCGAGAAGAAAATCACAGATAGTCCCTCCGTCCTCTTCTCCTAAACTGGAGTCTCACCATCTTCTTTCAGACAGAAACACCTATATGTGTATTCCTATATTGTATGATCACAAATCATTACCATGACTAATGAAACGCTGAAATAAACGTCTGATAGAATGCTTATAGATACAAGCGATGGGGGGGGGGGCGATTTAAGGAAAGGACCCTCCTAATAGATAGAGCTGTCCGACAATGGAAAACATGTTCTCAGGGCAAGACCATAAACTCCACAAGCCTTAAAGCAAACTCAAGAGATGCTACAAAAGGGGAGAGTTAACAGATCTCTAAGATCCAACCCAAATAACAAAGTATAAATATTTCTAAAAACGGAATTGTAACAGCATGAATGGGCCTGGAGAGCATTGTGCTAAGCGAAATAAGCCAGTCAGAAAAAGGTAAGTATCACATGATCTCACCCATATGTGGAATCTAATAAATAAAATTAACTGATGAACAAAATAGATCTAGAGACATGGACCCATGAACAGACTGATGAATTTCAGAGGGAAGGTGTGTGTGGGGTGTGTGTGTGTGTGTGTGTGTGTAGTGGGGGGAGAGATTAACCGGGGAACTTATGCATATATGCGTAGCCCAGGGACAGACAATAGTGTGGCGCAGGCTTGGGAGGGTGGGTGCAAGGAGGAGGGGCCAATGCGGAAACACACACACACACTCACAAAAACCAAAGTGGACACCTGTATACTTTCAACAATAAAGAAAAATTAAAAAAATAAAGAAACAACTGAATTGTACAACCCTCCAAGGATAACTATGAATGTGAAAGGCCCTCAGGCGAGCAAAGGTCGTGGCTTGTCCAATCTCCGTCCTGAAATCCTTGTCGGCAAAACTGACCTTGAGGAACAAAAAGCCACAAGTAGCTCTGACACCAACTCCAAGCTGAAGAAACTGAGGAGACCCTCTCACCGCTAAGTTCACTTTTTGGAGATTATTGGGAAGTTGAGAGTGGGGGGAGGTGTGTTTTGACTCCAGCAAACACCCTCAATCTCTAAAGCTCTGGGAACCATTCCCCAGACCAGTCTGAGGCCCGTTCTCCTCCTGAGAGGTACCTATTAGGGCCGCCTCTGGGGGTCGGAGCCCACAGGTCCCTCTTGGCAGCCCCCACCCACGGACCGCACAAGGGCCACGCAGGCCATCTCCAAGCATCACCCTCCCCTCGGAGCCGGCCCCTCCTCTACCATGCAATTGGCCAACATGCACATGCAGTCGCCTATCTGTGCTGCCCAAGGCCCTCCCCGTGCTCACACCCATGGCCCCACGCATGCCAGGAGCCATGCCCACCCCCAGAGGCAAGCCTTCTCGACTTCTCTACTCACTGCACCCTCCTGCACCTCTGCTACTCAGCCCCTCGCACCCAGACCTTTGGGGACCCCATGCACCTCGCACTTACTGAGATGCTTGTTCCTGTTCTTACGCCCCATCATCTGAGCGGGTTTGAGCTCCCCAACGACATGACAAGCTGCTGGGGGAAGGACTGTGCCTCTTATCTGACCCCCCTCAAAGTCTACAGCAGCACCCAGCACAGAGCAGGTGCCCAAGAAACGGTGGTTGGTGGTGATGGTCATGGTTGGAAGTCAGAGGGGTGCTGCATCTCCACATGTGGGTCCATCTTCGGTCACTACTGAGAGAGTCCCCAGGGGCATGAAATGTCACTCCCCTCCCACACCCACCCCGAAGCCCACAGCCCCTCTAGGAGGACACTTACTTTCGAAGCACCACTTTCAAGAAGCTAAGCTCAGCCCCCTTCACCACGCCCTCCCGTCAGTGGGGCCCGCCTCCCCTAGGTCCTTGTGGGGAATGCTGCTCTCTCACGGGGGCTGCTACCATTAGATATTTCTGAGTGGCCACCAGGAAGCCCCCTGCTGTAGAGGCTCAGGGTGTCTTCTTTTTTTTGGGGGGTGGGAAGGAATAGAATTGCCACCAAGCACCTGACTGCTCAATAAAAGGAGAGGGGGTATAGCGGGGAAGATAGGCACCAGGTGAGTTCCTATCTTACAGCGCTCCTGCCAAGGCAGGGGACTCTCGTGGGAAACCTCAGCGCCAGAGCGGCAGCAGCGTCGGAACCAGCCCAAAACAGGGTCCAAACGCACCCAGCCTTGGGCTAAACAAAATACTCGGATCCACGCAGAAACTGGCCTTTCTCCTTTCCTCACCCAACATGTCGGACCCCTATGTGGAGTCTGGGAGGCAGTGGGCCTTAGGACCATCCCTGTCCTTCTCTGGAGCAGTTTTCTCATCTGTAAAGCAAAGGGCTCGGCCTGGCGAGCCTGAAGTCACTTCAAGTTCGAAAACCGTTAAGAGCAGAAGAGCCTGGAATACCTCTGGCCCCAGCCTCGCATCCTCGGAACCTTGGGCGCGACGTAGGACCCTCGTGGGGACAGGGAACGTTAGATCTGAAGACTCTAAGCCTCAGCCAACCTGAAAGCCCTCCCCCGTCCCCCTCCCCCACGATGCCGCGCCCGGGTTTCACCGGTCAGGGAGCGATGCTGGGGAACTCCCGGGTGGAGTGATGTTCGGATCCCAGCAGCTTCCCGCCTGGGATCCGAACACACCTCCCCCCACTCTCAACTTCCCAATAATCTGAGAAGCTTACACCCCCTCCTCTCCGACCTCCCTTCACCCCACCCCGGCGGCACGTGGGCCCTGCTTACCGCTCCAGAGGCAGCAGCTGCGCCGCAGCACCACCACTGCAACTGCTGCGAAGGAAAACCCGCGCGCGCAGCTGCCAGGTTGTGTACACGGTCGCCATGGCAACGGGCCGCTTCCCGAGGTCCCGGAAGTGTTGAGGTAGTGGCGGAAATGAAGTCCGCGGTCCTCGGTGGAGATACGAGTAAGGTCAGGGCAGCCTCAGGAAAACAGGAGATGGGACCGCTGATTCTAGGAAGAATGCGGCAGCTGCAGGTGCGAGACCAGGGCCGAGATAGCAAGGGAACGAAAGCTGCGCACGAACCAGGAAGCGGGGCAGCAGGGCTTCCGGCGCAGAAGCGACTCCGACTACGGCGGCCGCGCAGGCCCGTCTGTTCCCAGGCCT